TGCACAACAGAACATACACCAGTTCAGCGGTTTCTGTGTGTACCATTTAGTGAATATGCACAACAGAACATACACCAGTTCAGCGGTTTCTGTGTACCATTTAGTGAATATACACAACAGAACATACACCAGTTCAGCAGTTTCTGTGTGTACCATTTAGTGATATTGATTACATTCTTCAAGTTGTGCAGCCATTCTCACCTCCTTTTCTGCATTCTTCTCCATTTACGTAAACTCATTGCCCCCTGAGAATCGCAGATATCTTTAAGGCCTGCTAGAAATACTCCCTGTGTTTTGAGGGTAGTAGTTAAAATTGTTAGGATTTCCATAAGCAGATGCCTTGTAAAAACAAATGCATGTATTCTTTCAACACATAAAGAAGTTCCTAGTGAGGAAGAAGTTTGTCGGGTAAGGGCCTCAGGCGTGAACTAGTTAACGGATGTTAGTAGCTGGCTGATGGAAAATCAGTCCTGTCAGTTTGCATGAAAAGTAAAAAACTATTTGGATTTTTGAAATAACATGCAAGCTGAGGACATCATTATTTTGTGTTGTCCACTCTTCCCAGCCTCCTTTCTAGAAGGTTCCGGGCAGACCCTTGTCATGTAACTACTGATTTTATGACAGACGTACTTTCCCTCCCCCAGTGCCAGTTTAATGAGGCGCACATATGAAGTACGTGGAACGCGAGCAGGCGGCGTCAGTAGGGTTCACGATTACACCCACTCAGCACAGCCACCCAGTGTCAGTCAGTGTTGTGAGCCTGTTTACACTGGAAAAGCTGAGGGTCCACGGCTCTGTGACCTTCCACGGTCACCCAGCCAAATGTGCGGCCGAGCCAGGAGTGTGCCCCCTCAGACTGAGGAGCAGCCTGTGTCGCCAGCTCTGCGTGGTGCACCTACTAGGAGATGTGTTCCATTCATCCAGAATATTCTGAAAGTAGAATTTTCTAGTTAATTGAACTTGCTTGCTGCCTGAATATTAGCTAGAAAGTTGTTTGTGCCTTAAACCTTTTAAACTGAGTGTGCTTTGCTGCCTGAATCAGTGAGTGCAGCATAGCTAATAGATGGTTTTTACAATGTGGGCCGTGTTTCCTGTCGTCCTCGCCCTCACTCACGCCTCTCTGGCTGCACTGGTCTTCTTCTGCTCTCCAGACCCTCACTTGCCCCTCCTGAGTCTCCTGCCTCACTGGGCCGCTGTTCTCCAAGGTCTCTGCACAGCTCCCCACCACAGACCTCCGCTCAAAGACCACTTTCTCTTCAGGCGTGACCTTCCTACTTGAAACTGCAACCTCCTCTCCCCGCCCCACCCCAGCACCTTTTCCATCACACATGGCCTCTTCCAGCATGCTGTCTGATGCGTTCACATCTCTTCCTTAATACCCCGTGCTCCTTTGCTCACATCCCTGTTGGCATTCTTTGCTTATTTGCCTTGCCCCCACCCAAATTGAGACCTTGAGGCAGAAACCCCACCTTGTTCATCTTTGAACCCCAGCATTTGGCACAGATGCTCAAAGGGCTGGGTGGGGAGAGGGCAGGTGTGTCCCCCTGATAGTCCACACTGGTTTGCTGACGGAACTTTCTTTTCCCACAGACTGGAAACCAACACATATATCAGCCTGTGGGTAAGCCAGGTAAGTGAAGAGGTGACCTGCATGTCAAGAAACTCGTGTAATTTGGAGGGAGAAGGTTTAAATGCGTGTAGTTTCATAGCTTTGGAATTTTTTTTTTTTTTCTTAAAACACTTTTCCCCTCAGACCATAGCAAGTATGAGGTTTACCAAATTCAGCCCCTGACTAGAATATTGCAAAATAGAATTTCTTGTTAGGCTGCATCAGAAATGCCCCCAATCAGATGTTCTCTCCAGGATTAATGTGCTGTTGTAGTGATGCCAGGCATGTTTGTTTGGTTTGGGGTTTGTTTGTTTTTTTTTTACTTCCTGTGTGTTAATGTAAATTACTTTACCAAAATCATTCCACGTTAATAGATCCTGCAGCTCCACCAAAGAAACCACCACGCCCTGGAGCCCCCTGCCACCTGGGCAGCCTTGCCAGCCTCAGCAGCCCTGGGGACAGCTACAACGAGGGTGTCAAGGTGGGTCTCTGAGCCATGTGAGCGCGCCGCTCACCACAGTCAGTGGGGTCCCTTAGTCCTGGCGGGTGGAGTTGGTGCTGCAGAAAGGTGGCGACAAGGGCTGTGATACAGGAAGTCAGGGAAACCTTGATGTGAGAGTGTTCTCTTCAGCTTTTTCACTCACTGTGGTATAGTTGAGGAACTCGGTCAGATCCTTACTTTCTGAATACATCTTCCTCAAGCAAAATGTTTATTTGCTTCTGGTTTTAAAAATTAATTATAAACCAGGACACCTAGGGTAAAGGAAGACCTTGGGTAGGCTCCCTGTCTCCAAGTTTGTAAATGTGCCTTACTGTGAAATATCTGTTAGTTTTCCATTCACGGTCAGAATTCCGTGTGTAAAAGCAACATGAGCCAGCTCTCAGGAGCAAATGGCCACCCCGCTTCACCATGGTTTGGGGCCCCTTACATGGCTGCTTGTTCCTGAGTAGGCAGGCAGCTGAAACCATCTGTGTTTGGGATTCTCCTGATTGCCACAAGACCCCGCAGAGTGCTGGGGTGATCAACACTAGCTTACAGGTGGGATTTACTCTCTGAGATAAGTCCTCCTCACAACACAGACATCCTCCTCACGCCGTGGGCGTCCTCCTACATCACAGGCATCATTGGCCTCCTCACAGCACAAGTGTCCTCACACCACAGGCATCCTTCTCACACCACAGGCATCCTTCTCATGCTGTGGTCATCCTCCTCCTCCTTACACCACAAGTGTCGTCCTCACATTGTAGGCATCCTCCTCCTCACACAGTAGACGTCCTCTTCCTCCTCCTCACACCACGGGCGTCCTCCTCACACTGCGGGCATCTTGTTCCTCCTCACACTGCAGGCATCTTCCTCCTCCTCACACCATGGGTATCCTCCTCCTCCTCACACCACAGGCGTCCTCCTCACACTGTGGGCATCCTCTTCCTCACACCACAGGCATCCTCCTCACACTGTAAGCATCCTCCTCCTCCTCACACCAGGGGCATCCTCCTCACACCACAGGCATCTTCCTCCTCCTCACACCACAGCCGTCTTCCTCATACTGTGGGCATCTTCCTCCTCACACCATAGGTGTCCTTCTTGTACTGTAGGCGTCCTCCTCCTCACACCACAGGCGTCCTCCTCACACTGCAAGCATCTTCCTCCTCACACCATAGGTGTCCTCCTCACACTGTAAGCATCCTCCTCCTTCTCACACCAGGGGCATCCTCCTCACCACAGGTGTCCTCCTCACACTGCGGGCATCCTCCTGCTCCTCACACTGCAGGTATCCTCCTCACACTGCGGGCATCCTCCTCCTCCTCACACCACAGGTGTCCTCCTCACACTGCAGGCATCCTCCTCCTCCTCCTCACACCACAGGTGTCCTCCTCACACTGTGGGCATCGTCCTCCTCCTCACACCACAGACGTCCTCCTGCTCCTCACACCACGGGTGTCCTCCTCACACTGTGGGCATCCTCCTCCTCCTCACACCACAGACG